TTTATTTTTGTACAGTATTAGTGACCTAAGTTATTTTGCTGTCCCGTTTTTATAAATCAAATGAAGTTATAAAAGAGGATTCTGACAGTAGGTATTTTGTACATATGTATATATGTTGTCCAAACAAAAATAATAAATGACAAAAAAATGTTCTTCCACATTCAATATATTTGTAGTGTTTTTCTTGAATACAAAATAATAAAGCTTTAGAAGCATCTTCAGGCTTTTCCTCTGGCATAAAATATGTGTACAAAAATATCTGTGAATAAAGTGAGGTGATTATACCGTCTTTACAGTTTTAATATTTATCTTCAGAATCAATACTCTTGTTCACTTTAAAGGCTTATGTTTTCTAAAATGTCTTAATTACATGTATAATGCTTTAATTAAGTATGAAGTATTTAAAGTTGAGTAGAATTTATACAGAAATGTTTTGCCACATTCTTTGTATTTTTACCATATTTCCAAACTATAATTGCTTTCATATAGTATAAGCTATGAGCATTGACTAAATGTAATACCCCTTTCTTTGTATTGGTAGAGGCATTCTCCAGTATCAATGCTCCTATGTACAGTATACAGTAATGTGTGACTAACATTTAAAGGCTTTGTAACATTCTTCACATTTTTAGAGTTTCTCTCCATTATGATTTATATTTAGAAGTATTTGAGTTCTGGATAAAACTCTGTCACATTTTTCAGGTTTCTAGACTTTCTCTCAAGTATGAAGTATCTTATGATTAGAAAGGCTTGAGCAAGACGTAAAGGCTTTGCCACATTCTTCACATTTGTAAGATATCCTTCCAGTATGAATTCTCTTATGCTTTAGAAGGCTGGAGGCCCAGTTAAAGATTTTATCACATTCTTTACATTTGTAAGGTCTCTCTCCAGTATGAATTCTCTTATGATCAGTAACAGATGAGTGACACTTAAAGGCTTTCCCACATTCTTCACATTTGTAGGGTTTATCTACAGTATGAATTTTCCTATGTTCATTGAGGTTTGAAGAGTATTTAAAGGCTTTGCCACATTCGTCACAAGTACAGGGTTTCTCTTCAGTATGACTCCTCTTATGTCTAGTAAGGCATGACAACCACTTAAAGGCTTTGCCACACTCTTCACATTTGTGGGGTTTCTCTCCAGTATGAATTTTCTTATGTCCAATAAGGACTGAGGCCTGTTTAAAGGCTTTACCACACCCTTTACAAATATAAAGTTTCTCTCCAGTATGAATTCTCTTATGTCTAGTAAGGATTGAGAACCATTTAAAGGCTTTGCC